ATGCTATTTGACGTTTCTGTTTCGTTACTTATTAAATTTTTTAAATATTTCTATAAAATACATATATTCTATGTAGGAGTTAAAGCTTCAATAGAAGTTCGCAACTGAACCTAATTTGATTCCTAAAATCCTATTATTATACAACCTACTTTATGCTAAAGAAAGCGAAAGTAAACATTTCAGACATCATCAGGGTCAAAGTAAGAGTAAATTATATATCATTAGAATTAAACCTATTTTGCTATCTTAGCTCCTACTGCAGTGTAGAATTCAAGGTTCAACATAGGGTTAAAATTTCGATTCGGGAAAGGAATTGGAGAAAATGAAATTTTTAATTGAATTAATTAATTAACAAACACAAATTTATTAATCGCGGTTCGGTGAATTTAGCACGGAGATAGGATATGCTTAGGGAAGTCGGGAGGATTGCCGACTCCGAAGGGAGAAACGAGTATCAGACTCACCAGAATTATTGCAAAATGGCCAAAGAACGCGGCGGAAAAACGAGAATAAAATGTAAAACTTACTTTCAACGTCGGCTGGGAGTATATACTTTCCTTGATCTAGGTTCGACATGATCTCTAGTATCTTGCAGGGGGAATAGATGAACGTGGACGGCTTGATTTTGCTATGATTCGCGCACTGAGTTGCTCGGATTACTTCTTTTGAATATAGAACGCGGAAAATAGAACTTGGATCGCTCAATCGTGCCGAAATTGAAAAATGTACCCAGCAAACACAATAATATAACAGTTACATCGTCATAATCCCATACAGCACAGATCTTGCAGCAACATTGCGACAACACTGCTACAACTTTTAACATTGCAACGTTGCAGCAATATTGCTCCAAGATCTGTGCTGTATAGGATATAATGGAATGTAACGTGCAATATAACATGTTTGTTACATGTAACATACACGTTAGTTGTAATTTCCCACTCAAACGATATTGCAACTATATATTAATAGAAATATAACATGTTATTAAAATGTTATATAGCTGTTATATATATTGCTGAAATATAGCTGTTATATAGCTGAAATATAAATTATTATTTCCCAGCAATTATACGTATTTAATTGTACGCAGAAATTATAACTATCACTCATATATTACTTAATTTGTAAAAATATTATAATTATATATTTTGTATCAAAAATATTTTTACTAAAAGTAATAACATAAAAGTATCTTGCCATTCTAAATTAATTAGCCCCCAAATAACACAAGATATTCCAGAATCATCCTGGAGCTATTCTAGGCGTCTAGTGTCACAGTATGTTCTCAGGCATTTTACACTATTGGAGTTATTTTCATTTATTCATTTTCATCTTTCTGCATATTCAAATGGAAAGGATTACTATTGTAATAGTAATTTCTATTATCAAAAAGTGAATCACTTCTTTTTAAGTTATAAAAGTGAACTCCATAGTATAAGTTGTGCGGTCTTGTGATCATCGTTCTTATACAGGGTGAATATTATATACCGGAACACCTGAATATCTCGAAAACAAAGCGTTGTATAAAAAAATGTTAAATACAAAAGTTGTAGGGTTTAAAAAGATCTATTTTATGATATTAGCAGTTTGACCTTG